CTCTTTTTTTTTCTCTCTCTGTCCCTTCTTTGTCTCTGCAATGATGTGAAAGAGGGGCACAACAAATATATGTATAGGATAGAAAATAAGAACTAGTAACTTTATGTTTCTTGGAATAAGCTATTAAGGTCCTAATCCCTTCCTTCCAACACAATGAATGTAATGGCTAAACTTTTCTGCAACAAAGGGAAAGACAATGCAGCTCCCCTTGTTCTTTGAGAAAAGGAACACTGGTTTTTATCCTCAGGAAGTGATGTTTCTGACCAAATGCCAGTTTTAGAAATAAGGAAGCCTGGAATGGCATACACTTTTCAAAAGCTTCAGAGAGGGAAGTGGTGTAGCATCCATCCCATGCAATTCTGATAATCAGCCTACATGCTGATTGTTGTGAAGCTTATTTACTTTGTAATTTATTAAAGGAAATAACTGAGTTTCCTTAATTTCTATGATATTCTTTTGCATTATTTATTCCAAGATGTTTTGCTACTCAGGCCATAGACTGGAACCGTCACTGTGTAAATTAATTGGGAACTGCATATAGGAGGAGAGGTGGGAAAGCAACTAGTAGAAGCTTTTGGGTTCTCTATTTTCTAGAAAAGACTGTACTTAAAAATCCATGTAATTTTCTGAAATAGATTGAGCAAGCTATTTAGTAAATCTGCATAATTTGTTGATATATACTCAGGTATGTTAAGCACGATATATATTTAATTGCCTTTGCTCTTTCAAAAAACATTTAGGTTTGTGATTGAGAATCTACTAAAGTGGTGGGAGGATGGGGATTTGATGGATCACAAACAAGTTGAGCATTTGCGTAAAGGTTACAGTTCTTCACCCTTTTTTAGAAAAGTTAGAAAAACACCCTATAGCAGAAACTGAAAGATTAGAGGATATAGAAGCATGGAAAATGGATATAGATACTGGAGACAATGTGGAAAGAGGTTGTGAGAAGGGGGAGAGCATGAAGAAAGACATAAAAGATAAAAATAGAGAGGAAAGACATTTATGGGACACAGAAATGGATGATTATCTGTTGATGATAACAATGTATAGTATCCTCAACTGGACTGGTGTGAAGTACTCATGTTGAGAAAATTCACTTTACATGCTAAGTGATGTATAGTGACTGAATGTTCAAAAGAAATTAAAATAAAATTAAAAAGTAAAAAGTCAACTATGTAAACTTTTCATTAAAACCCTGGTAGCCCTCTCTTCTCCTCCATTCTTTCTCTCTATATAAAATAAACTTTGGTTCTCACCATTTTGGGAAGCACTGGCAATGGTTATTTAAGGCCTCATTCCCCTGAGTGGCTATTCTCACAGTTTAGGCATGAATAAACTTTTCATTTATTAAATAAAAAAAAGTTTGGTGGAAGAATTATTAGTTTTGAACACTTCCAGTCATTGACTCAGTCCTGAAATGTCATCCACTTTCTCTCTATGAAATTCTGTTCTTCAAATGGAGATTTTTGTTCTGTAGGAATTATAGTAAATTTTTGTCTCTGTTCCCATTAATTCACTTATTAAGGTAGTGAGGGTTTTTCCCTTAGGAAGACATAGTGGGTTTGCTAAGTGCTTATACCAGTGGCTTCACTTTCACAGCAATGCTGCTGTGGAAGCTTCGTTCTTCCACTCCTGTTGTCTGCTAATATCACTGAATGTGTATAAAAAGCCCAGGTTGTAAGTGTGGAGGGTTACAAGGCTTAAAAATACTTCCCTAGAAGAGAGAATTTGGAGAAGAGTAGTTCAGACAGGTTGGTAAGTATCCAATTGAATATAAAACCAAGAAAGAGACTGGTTCATGGGCAAAGTTGGGCCTGAATGGAAACTTCTGATGACAGAATGCCAACTTTGGTATAAGAAAAACAGGAGGATGTCTTCATGATGAAAGAAAGGTGATTTTGGCTATAATGATTTCCAGATTGCCAGTCAAGATCGAGCCCACATGGCCACCAGCATGTAACCTGGAATGGGTAGGACACTTTTAAATGAAGGATCAGCCTTCACGTTAGAGGGCAGACATACTTAGGTAATCTACACCTAACTTTTAAAAAATAAATGAAGAATCTAAACCCAGTATTTCAGGACTGCAAGCTCATCCTTTGCCAAACATTTTGACTTTTTCTTAGGATATAGTAATGTTTGAATTCAGGGTTTGGATTCAGTGGTATTTTTTTTCTAATTTCCCTTTTTTTTCTATATTTTTGGAAATGTCTAAGTTTGTCATAGCTACACCAGGTTGCAAAATCTAGGGCAGTGTCAAGATAGAATGGCTAATAAAAAAATAAATAAATCATCCTCCCAAACTGAAGCCTTCAGTTTTGAACCTTTTCCTTTGTTTGCTGGCAATTTCCTTACTCATGGGCATGTCTCCTACCTGCCCACCTAAATATTTTCTGTCTGCCAGATCTCTTATGAGAGAGGGAGCCACCTCAAGGGGAGCCTGTCCTACCATGGTAAACTCAGCCCTTACTTAAATGGTCTACCTTGCTACAAAAGGGCCACTTCCGTCAACAAATGTCAATATCCAAACTCACAGAAGTGATCATTGATTATATTTTACATTTAAATGTGGTTTATTGCGTGTTAGATAGTGACAACTTCAATGTTACATTACCATGTCGATTACATCAGGCTCTTTGAGCACATAATGAATATTGAAATAAAGAGAGAATTGCTCTCTTCCGGCTGGAATCATGAAGAGTGTTTTAAGAGAAGAAAAAGAAGGTTCCTGCTGTGAGAGAAGCCAAGACAAAGGCTCCTGCTGTGCCAGAAACCCTTCAGAAGGAGCAAAGGAATTTTGTGGAGCTGAAGACCAAGCCCCTGAGAAAGAAGTTTGCTCAAAAGATGTTTCAAAAGGCAAGGAGGAAGCTTACCTATGAGAAGCTAAGTATTATCATAAGGAATATAGACAGATGTACAGAACTGAGATTCACATGGCCAAGGTGGCAAGAAAAGCTGGCAACTTCTATATAACTGCAGAACCCAAATTGGCATTTGTCATCAGGATCAGAGGTATCAATAGGTTAAAACCACAAGGTTTGAAAGGAGTTGCAGCTTCTTTGCCTTCTTCAGATCTTCAATGGCACCTCCATTAAGCTGAACAAGGCCTCAATTAACCAGCTGAGAATTATGGGACCATATGTTGTATGGAGGTACCTGATCCTGAAGTCAGTAAATGAACTAATAAGCTATAAGTGTGGTTATGGCAAAATCAATAAGAAGCAAATTGCCTTGACAGATAACTCTCTGATTGCTCAATCTGTTGGTAAATTTGGCATCATCTGCATGGAGAATCTGATTCATGAAATCTCTACTGTTGGAAAAACACTTCAAAGAAGAAAGTAACTTCCTGTGGCCCTTCAAATTATCTTCTCCATGAGGTAGAATGAAGAAAAAGACCATCCATTTTGTAGAAAGTGGAAATGCTGGCAACAGGGAAGACCAGATCAACAGACTTATTAGAAGGATTAACGAAGGTATCCATCATGATTATTTTTGTAATCTGCTCAGTAAATAATCAGAGTGGCTGTTTTCAGATTGCAAAAAAAGATGAAGGAGTAAGTAGGAGCCAGGGAGATAGGGGAGCTCTGCATGTGGTATCAGGGAATTCTCACTCAGGTAGGACCTTGCTTTGCTCAGGAAAAGAAGGTAAGAAAGATGTTTCAAAGAATTTTCTGTAAACGTAAATAGAAAGATGAGTCAGTAGCTGTCGAAGATGTGATATAATGCAAAAGATTTTTTGTTTTAATGAAAATAGCCTACTTGTGTGCTCACAGGAATAATACAGCAGAAAAAGAAAAAGAATTATGTAGGAAAGAGGGGAATTTCTAGAATAATGTCCTTAATGGGTGAAAATATAATTACAAAACTTACTTTTTACTTTGATGACACTGTAGTAATCTATGAAGTGTTTGAAAGGGTTATTAAAATTAATGCTTCTGAGTATGGATTCACATAATGCTAACTGCAGTGGGCACTACCAGCTGCACGCTCAGTTATTTCCGTTACACTTTGCCCCAATGTTGAGTGGGCACCTCCCACTTCGCCATGCAGCTAGTCTGACTCAGGGAAAACTGACTCCCCTCCACGAGTTAGAATGAGCCACTGCAGGCAACCCCACCGTACCGCCCTCTGATTACTCAGATCAAGTCATCCCCACAGGCATATTCCTTGGCAGTTGGTCCTGCTTCAGGCTCATGGCCTCAGACCTCTCTTGGCCAGATACAAGAAGGCTATATTTCTTTTTTTTCCCTAGAGGGAAAAGACTATATTTGATTTTTTTGGTTTTGGATTTTTACTCACATAAAATAATTGTACATGTTTGTGGGATCCAATATGATTTGCAGTACAAGAAAACAACCCACAATGATTAAAGCAGGACAACTAGTATATCCACCATCTCAATCATCTGTCATACCCTCACATGTCCCCTATCATTCCCAGCCTCTAGAAGACATTCTTTAACTCTCTACTTCTACGAGGTCGCTTGTTTTTCAGTTTCTTCATTTGAGGGAGAACATGGTATTTCTCTGTGGCTGGCTCATTTTGCATCAAATAATGTCCTTTGGGCTTGCCTGTGTTACTTCAAATGACAGAATTTTGTGCCTTTTAGTGTCCGGATAGTATCCCATTATTTAGATATACCATATTTTCTTTATCCATTTATTGTTATTGGACACTTATGCTGATTCCATATCTTGGGTATTGTGAACACTTCTGCAGTCAACACTGGGATACAGATATCTTTATAACAGACTAAGTTCCTTTTCTTCGGATAGATAGCTAGCAGTGGAATTGCTAGAACAGTTCTATTTTTTAGTTTTTGAAGAACCACCATACTATTTTCCATAATTTCTATAGTGATTTCCTTTTCCACCAACAGTGTAAAAGAGTTCCCCTTTTATTGCATCCTCACCAGGACTTGTTATTTTTCATCTTTTTGGTAATAACCTTTCTAACTGCAGTGAGATGATACCTTATCATGGTTTTGATTTGCATCTCTCTAACACTTAGTGATACAGAGCATTTTTTCATATGTTTGTTGGCCATTTGTACATATGCTTTTGAGATCTGTTTATTCTCATTTGCTCATTTTAATGAAGGTTTTGTTTTGTTTTGTTTTTTGCTGCAAGTTGTTCGAGTTTCTTGTATATGCTGGTTATTAATCCCTTGTCATATGCATAGTTGGCAAACATTTTCTCTGAATCTGTGGATTCTCTACATTCTGGTGATTGTTTTCTTTGCTGTGCCAAAGCCTTTTACTTTGATATAAGTCCATTTGTCTATTTTTGCTTTTGTTCCCTGTGCTTTTGTTGTTTTGTTCAAAAACTCTTTGACCATACCAATAGTTTAGGGTTTACATTTAAGTTTTTAATCCATTTTATTTCTGTCCATGGTGAGAGATAAGGATCTAGTTTCAGTCTTCTGCATATGGATGTCTATTTTTCCCAGCACCATTTACTGAGGATATTGGGAGAGGCTACTTTTCAACATGAATAAGTGTGTTTCCTCGGTAGCTGCTAGCTACTCTTGGAGAAGTTCAGTGGAAGCTCATCTGTGGGTAAGGTCACCACACGAGAGGACATAGCCCAGAGAAAGGCTAACAGGCAGAACCAGAGCTTCATTTCCACCAGGCATTCTCTACCCCTAGCTTTTTTCTTGGGTCTTATAACTTTCTTATTGTGTAAACTAGTTTGAGATAGACTATCTTATTTCTTTAGCTGAAAGCATCCTTAAAATTCTATAAAAGAGTGTCTCCCAAACCTGTCTGTATATTGGAATGATTGGAGGATCTTCAAAAATCGCTGGTGCCTGTGTTGTACCCAGAGAATATGATTTATTGGTACAGTATACGGTTGGGCAAATCAATTAATCTCTAAATTCCTCTACTTTCTGGAGATTCTAAGAATTTACCTCAAGCCAATGGCACACTGAGATACTTCAAAATGACAGAGATTATGTGTTTCCACCAGAGCTCCCTCCACTCCCCCTAATGTAGAGGAACTTTTATACTTTGTGACAGGATTTGAATTTCTCTTCAGTTATCCTGCTTGGATTTCTTCTTGAGCCTCTATCCATACCATGTTACAGAAGAGGAGAGTTTGATAGCACTCTCTAGCAAAATAAATCTCTGTAAACTATGTGCTTAGAGTCCCAAGGGGCCATAAGTGGTCTTAACTTATCAATACTGTAATACCTTTCTTGATGCCCTTTCCCACTGATGCCTGCACAATGGGGTAGCCATGCAGGCTGGAAGCACTTCAGGCAGTGATACACAGTAAATAATTCAAAACAAAAAAAGTGCTCAGTGAATACATAGTTATTCTTAGGATGGGTCCAAAAGGTTAACAATGAACTCCAGAGCTAACTTGAACAGTCACAGCTATGTCCAGGATGAAATGGCTTAGGAAGTTACACTCCTAGTCTTCCCTCAATACCTCCCCTTCATCCTTCCTCCCACTACTTATAAAACAGCAAGCTTGCCCTATAAATGCAACTCTAAGACAGTTTTTTTCCTACTCACATTCAACCAAATTGCCATCCCATAAAGCCTCACCTGAAAAGAAATGCTACAGCTGCCACTAATAGAGAGAAGGGTCATTTTGCTGATTTTTCCCCCTAGGTTTTTAGAAGCACTCCATTTCCTCTTCAAGAGTATACCTCTGGGTACCACAATGCTGTCTCATTCCCCACTTGAATTATATTGTCTATGAAAAGAGGCATCTCTCTGGAGGCTTGAGTGCTAAGTGATTTTTTGGAGAGATGTGTGAAAAATGGTTTCAATATTTGGCACTTTCCAAAGGCAGGAGATGATCTGAGACATTGGTTTTTAAAAACACTTACTATACTATTCCCTTGTTTCAGAAAATGCCTTATCATTTAGAATGTTATATTTAGTAGTTGTACAAAAGTAGAAATTTTGTAAACCATAGGATTATAATTTTTCTTTCATTCATTTAGCCATACTAATGTCACATATATTACATAAATGTATATATTCATCAGGATATCAATCTTTCTTTTACAGATATCTCCACTAAAATATATCATTCTGAAACTAAAGACATAGACAATGCCCCAAGAATTGAAACAACTGAAAATACTGCAAAAATGTACAAAGTATCAACCATGAGACGAATATTCAATCTGGCAAAACATCGAACAAAAAGATCAACCTTTTTCCCAACTGGGGTTAAAATTTGTCCACAAGAATCCATGAAACAGATCTTAGCCAGTCTTCAAGCTTATTATAGATTGAGAGGTAAGCAAAGACATGAACCCTACTATCCCTTTGTTATGTCCATCCTTTTCATTCATCCACAGGTTATCTTCAATTCAAAACTGTTAGTCTCTCATTTTGCCATGAGATTTACTTTTTTTTTTAAAAAAAAAAAGGCCTAATAATTTGATAGTAACTAATAATAAGTATTCAAAATTGTAGTAGATATCTGCTTTTATGATTTAAAATAATGTCGTATGTAGCACAGAACCATTAGGGCATTTGATAAGTCACCAGAAAACCTTGGAGTCCATTGGATTTTACCTGTTTATGTTATTTTTGCCAAAGTCTAATAGAATTTTAATGTCAAGCTTATAAAGTAAGATGCACAGGATGACTGCAACATGAGGAATCTGAGCAAGATGATTTATGACTTCAAATTTCATTTTTTGAAAGCAATATTATAATCTAGATCTTCTCTCCCTTCTTGAAAAGTTTAAGTTGTTTATTGTTGATTTAGCAAAAAATTTCTGAAGTTTGAAAACCTAGAGGCCTGACGGAGTGCAAAGGAGACACAAATTAAGAGTGCTTACCAAGAAATAATGCAGGGTGTGGACAGAACTAATAGCACAAAAACAGTAGTTTTTAATCCCTGGACAGTATAATAAGATTCTTAAAGCATTTCAGAAAAGTCACTATGGAGTTCATTCACACTAAAACCATCAGGGACTGTCCTTTTCACTTATGTACCATAGATGAAAAAATTACTATGGCTTCTTTTTTTTTTTTAAAGGAATATAAAACTATTTATTGACCACTGTTCACCAGTATTTATAATAAACAATATACAGTTGGATAACATTCTGATTACTACAGAGTTATTGGTTCTCCTTGCTTCTCCTGAATCAGTAACCTAAATACTGCAAAGATTGAAGCCTACACATAAGGAATGAATTGGGGTTAAGAAAAGAAACATGCACAATAGTTTTAGATCAAATTTGTTCACTCATTTATGCAAGCAAGTCCTAAACTGCTAACATCTTTAACCATCTGATTAAGTTTCCATGAGCCAAATCTTAGACATTTATGAATAATGACCTTTCAGTCAATAGAGCATAAGGATTTCAACTTTTTATAAAGGAAGTTTCACTAGAGGATTAAAATGCTCACTTATAGTCTTTCTTAGCTAAACCCTGGGATTTGTTCATTTTTGTCATGTGGGAGGGGAGCTTATTAGTAACCGTAGAATTTCTCCTTTCAGGAATTCTGCAAATAAACCATTGAATTTGTATGACTACAGATAGATAAAAAATTCTGATATGATTGCTTTTAAGTTATCCAATTTAGATTACCCAATTACAAAATCATTAATTTGAAAGGTTATGGCTTCAGGAAAACTTTCAATTTAATTTGGAGGAACTTATTTCTT